CAGTCCTGTTTGCGTTGGAGGAAAGACCCTTCAGCTGCAGGACGTGAGCTCGGCGGCTGCTTGGAAGAGCGACGGCGCTCCGGCTTGGCGGGGGCCATTGCGGCGGGCGCTCTGGTGGGAGGGAAGAGGTGACGCGAATCAGTAGGGTCCTGCTGGGACCCCTCCGGTCTCGCGAGGCCTGGGAGACTGGCTCCGAGGCGGGGCGCTTCGCGTCGCGGCTGCGGTCTGAGTGCAGGGCGCTCTCGAGCCGAGACTAGAGAGAGAGAGAGAGAGAGATAGATAGAGAGAGAGAGAGAGAGAGAGAGAGAGAGAGAGAGAGAGAGAGAGAGAGAGAGAGAGAGAGAGAGAGAGAGACTGAGAGGAAAGCGAAGAGAGAGAAGAGAGAGCGAGGGAGAGAGGAGAGAGAGAGAGAGAGAGAGAGATATGGAGAGAATGGGGAGAGAGGAAGAGAGAGATAGAGAAAGAGAGAGAGAGAGAGCGTGAGAGAGGAGAAGAGGGAGGGGGAGGGGGGGGGGGGCGGGGGGGCGAGGAGAGGGAGAGAGAGAGGAGAGAGAGAGAGAGAGTAGAGAGAGAAGAAAGAGATAGAGAGAGGAGAGAGGGAGGATAGAGAGAACATGAAAGGGGAGTAGGAGGAGAGAGAGAGAGAGGAACAGAGAGAGAGATAGAGAGAGAGAGAGAGAGATGGAGAGAGGGAGATAAAGAAAGCCCGCAGTTTCGCAGTTGGCCCATGTCGGGTGCCCATGCAGGATCTTGGAGACGCAGCCAGACTGCATTGCAGACAGGCAGCGTCTCCAAGACGGCCCAGGATGGCGATGTTACAGATGGCAGACGGGGAGGCGACTCGGAGGCGACAACGATAGGGGGAGCGGTGCACGTGAGAGTGAGATATATATACACATATAGATAGAGAGAGAGGGGGAGAGGGAGAGAGAAAGAGAGAGAGAGAGAGAGAGAGAGAGAGAGAGAGAGAGAGAGGGAGAGAGAGAGAGAGAGAGAGAGAGAGAGAAACAGAGAGAGAGAGAGAGAAACAGAGAGGGAGTATGCGTGCGTATACTGGGCGCCCGCCCAGGTGGGAGAGGTCTCTTGGCTCTGCGCTGGTTGCCTCGTCCAGGGCGTTCCATGCTGATATGAATGATTTCTTGGCCAGTACCTCGCCCGCCGTGCCCGGGTCGGGTTTCTCTGTGCACGCGGCAGGGCATTTCTTCAGGTCCGACGCCACCAATAGTGCGGTGTGGCAGAGATCAAAGCTGCACACCACTCAGCTCATCAGCTCGTTCGTGTCCGACCCTGTGCTCGCGTCCACGTGCGGCAGTGACGGAGAGTCTAAGTTCTGGGAGGCAGTTGTTACGCGTTCAATGTTTCCAGATTTGCAGCGGGTGTTCGACGCGTCTTTCGTCGGCACTTTCTCGCTTCTCCACAAGCAGCTGCAGTCTCTCGGCGTGTCCTGGGGCGATCGTCGCGAGGCAGCGCCCCCGCGCTTTCCGCGCGCGACGTGGTGGGCGTACACGTCGGACGGGGGCCCTGACCAGACGACGTTCAAGAGAGGATTGGCGTTGGAGCTTGCGAATTCACCATATGATTTGTTCCTTGGGATGTTCTGTGTTCTACACGCCAACGCGCTCATCACGAAGTCCGGGCTCAATCTATGCGATGTTTGGTTGAAAAGGTTGAAACGGAAGTGGTTGTATTTCTCATCCCTTGCGAAGCTGACCCACTTGTGGAGGGATAACGCGGCCAAAGTAATGATCAGGTGGGAGAAGCTCTGGGGTTCGCCGTCTGCCGTCGCGCACGCCAAGTCGCTGATCCCCAGGTGCATTTCGGGCAGGTGGCTCAGCGTGCATGAGACAGAGAGGCGGTTGACGTCCAATGGGCCACGTTCGAACGTAAATGATATGACATGATGACATGAGATATAACGGATATGGCACGGGGGGCGAGGGAGGTGACGAGGAGGTGAGGAGGCGAGGAGAGCAAGGGGGCAAGCGAGGAGGGAGGGCGCATGGGGGCGGAGGGCAAGCGGGGGCAGCGCCCCCCCCCCCCCTCCTCGACCCCACCTCTCCTCCTTTCCATCCTCTCCTCCTCTCTCCTCCCCTCCTCTCCCCCCGTTGGTCGTGCTCGTGCGCTCGTGCGCTCTTGCGTCGCCCCCCTGCCCATCGTCCCGTCACTGCAGGTCTACCTGAGGGTCTAGGGGTCTGGGGGCTGGGTCTTAGGGTCTTAGGGTCTTAGTTAGGTCTAGGGCCCGCGGGCCGCTTGCTTAACTTTGAGTACAATAATTTCTTATGGTGTCAACTCTGGGCTTTCGGGCCTCTCGGGCCTCTTTGCTTGGCTTGTGGCGAGCCACCCTGGACGCCGCACGCTCGCCTTCTCGATTGCTCGGTGTCTCGAGGTCGAGCCCCCCCCCGCTAGGTCGTGTGGCGAGGGCGGGCTCGAGAGCAAATTCAATCTGGTCATGCTCGGGAACCCTGGCGGCATCCTGATCCCTCGGAGCGAGCAGGAGGCGCCCGCGATCGCAGACAAGGAGGCGGATGGGACAGTAGAGTTGCAAGTGGAGGAGATGAAGGCACACACGGCAAAAATGGGCAAATGGAGAACTGATTGCAGGAACACAATCTCCGACCCGATATTCTGGTTTGTTGTTAACGTTATGAATATTGCGCATGGACCCACCTCACGAATGCAGCTCGCCGTGCAGAAAGCTAACTCTGGAGGTAGCGGCCGCGGGCAACTCGCGATGTTGGTGGAGGGTGGCGTAGCCAGAATTTATTTTGATTATTCGAATAATTATTTTGATTTCGAGTGGGCACGGACACACTCTGAGAACGTTCGTCCTGATGCGCACCCCTTCATGCAGGAGCACGCCCAGGACTTGATGTTGTTCGCAATGGAGGATCAGGGAAATATGGGAATAGACTAGACCAACTCAGGGACCCGTGGAGGAGTGGAGGACTCACTGACGGAGGGACTGAGAGGCTGGGGGGAGTTCCCAGGCCCCCAGGGACCGTCAGGGACCCAGGGAGCTCACTAGCTCACTAGCTCACTTCATCGAACCTTCAAACATATAACTGGCCTACAACCTTACAGCTCCTACAACGCCCCAACCCCCCAACCCCGTGTCCGGTCCTGTTGTCCGGCTGGTCCGGCTGCGTTTTGGCTCCGTTTGCTTGGCTACCCTGTGAGCCTCTGCTCCTCTAA